CCCACCGAAAGCCCGGAAGACGCTCCCCCACAGCTCCTCTCCAGCTCCCCCTACCCCCCCAGCGCAGGTCAGACCTCCCCGGCAGAGCTACCATCTCTCCCTCTCCAAGAACCCAGGCTCCAGCCTCCACCTCCTCCGGAGCTGCAGACGCTTCTCCCACCGAAAGCCCGGAGGACGCCCCCCTACAGCTCCCCCCTCCCCAGCTCCCTCCCACCCCCCCAGCGCAGGTCAGACCTCCCCGGCCGAGCTACCAGCTCTCCCCCTCCGAAAACCCAGGCTCCAGCCTCCACCTCCTCCCGGGCTGCAGACGCTTCTCCCACCGAAAGCCCGGAGGACGCCCCCCTACAGCTCCCCCCTCCCCAGCTCCCTCCCACCCCCCCAGCGCAGGTCAGACCTCCCCGGCAGAACCACAGGCGGTTACGCCACTCCCCTCTCGGCCGCGCTCTCGGCTCCACGCCCGCCCCGGTCGGCCGGCGGGTCCGCAGCCCCCCGCCTCGCCCCCGAAGCGCCCCCGCCCCGGCCCACCTGGGCCCGGCTCCACGCCGCCCGCCGGGCGGGAGGCGGCCGAGCAGTCCCGGCCCACGGGCGCCCCGGCTCCGGCCACGCCTCCGCCGCCCAGCGCGCGCCGCTCTGTCGCGGTCCGGGGCGGATGCGCGGCACGGTGAGGCTGAAGCCCAGGCAGCGAAGCGGCCGGCTCCGGGAGCCCGCGAGGACCGCTCCGCCTCTGCACCTGGACCTCACGGCAGCCGAGCCCGGAGCACGTAAAGAGGCGGGGCCTCGAGCTTGGAAGGAGGAGGGGCCCGGAGCGTCGGGCTCCGAGGGACGCGTCGGGACCGGGAGGAGGCGGGGTCTCCGCTTCGGGTTCCTTCGGGCAGAATCGGTGGCAGTTTGGAGGCGGGGCCACAAGCTTCGGTTTATTTCGGCGGTTTCTGTTCGGATGTAGGCGGGGCCAAGAGCTTCGGCCGGATGTGGGCGGGGTCACAATGCTTGTTTGACTTAGATTGGGAGATAGGCGGTGTCTGGGGTTTTTTTTGAGAAGGAGGCGGGGCCACAGACTTAAGCAACACGAAGGAGGCGGTGAGCTAGAGCGTTCCAAGGGGGCGGGGCTAACAGCAGCTCACCCTGAGGGGGCGGGACCCCGGCTGGCGTGTCAGCCACCGGGGCGGGGCCAAGGTAATTGGCCTCACTTTCCCTAGAGGCGGAACCGAAGCGGCCGAGGGAGGGTCGCTTCGAGGGGGCGGGGCCAAGGTGTTCCGCTTCAGGGGCTACGGCGCCACTGGGGGCGGATCCCAGACTTCCCGCTTCGCTGAGGTGGCGGCGTGACGAAATTGACGCAGGGGGTCGGGATGGGGAGGGGTGGAGGAAGCAGCGCGTGGCGCGCTACGTAGGGGTGGCTCTGCCGGGACCGCGAGCTGGTGTTTACGAGGTGACTGGTTCTGTCGGAGCACGGTGCCGCATTCTGAGGGGAGCGCTCACGAGGGGGTGAGCCCGCCCGAGCGGGGAACGGATGGCGGGTGTCCAGTGGGAGGGGCCTCCGGCTGTGGGGTTCGCTCAGTGGGGCGGGTACTCGCTCCCCAACCGGGAGCGCTTGCGGCCGGGGGGGGCGGGGCCTGGCTGCGGGGTTGATGGGAGCCGAGGGCGCCCGAACGCCGAGCCGCCGGCCTTCAGGAGGGGCGGGGCTGCGAGTTCGGCCGAGCCGAGGAGGTCCGAACGCCCGAAAGCCTTGCGCCGGGGGCGGGGCTTCTACGGTGGGCGTCTGACACCGCGCGAGGAGGCTCTGAGGCCACGCCTCGGTGGTTTGGAAAGGGGAGGGGCCGAGTTCCGAGTCACGGGAAGGGGGCGTGGCCCGGCGCCAAGGGAGGCTTCTCTCCGAGCGGAGAAGGCGACATGGCCGGAACGCTAACCGCAGGGTCGGGAGGGCCTAGCGGCGCCCCAGCGCCTCGGCGAGGGGCGGGGCCTCGTCTCGGCGGCCCCGGGGCCTGGCGGGATCGCCTGGGGACGGGGCCCGGCGCCCAGGGGGCGGGGCCCGGCGCCCAGGGGGCGGGGCCCGGCGCCCAGGGGGCGGGGCCTGGCCTGGAGAATCGGCAGGTGGCAAACGAGGCCCGGGCGAGGCTCCACCCCCCCAGGCGTAGGGGCGGGGCCTCGCTGAGACCCTCCACCCCACCCCACCCGAGGCGGTGGGAGCGCTCTGTCGGTGACCGCTGTGCCCCCCCGGTTCCCGCAGGAGGATGCTGGTGGTGGAGGTGGCGAACGGCCGCTCCCTGGTATGGGGAGCCGAGGCGGTGCAGGCACTGCGGGAGCGTCTGGGAGTGGGGGGCCGCACGGTGGGCGCCCTGCCCCGCGGGCCCCGCCAGAACTCGCGCCTGGGCCTCCCGCTGCTGCTGATGCCCGAAGAGGCGCGGCTTCTGGCCGAGATCGGCGCCGTGACCCTGGTCAGCGCCCCGCGCCCAGATCCGCGCCAACACAGCCTGGTAAGGGGCGGGCCGGGGACGTGAACGCCCTGGACCCGCGGAAGTAGAGGCAGGACACCCGGACTCCAGGTCCCTGCCGTGGGAGGGGTCTGGGCGCCCTGGATTCTGGAATACTGTGCCTGCAAGAGACTAGGATCCCCGGGTTCGGGCTTGGGGGTTGGGAGGAGTCAGCGAGTCGGGGTTCCTGGCTTCCTAAGGCAGCGCAGACTTGGATCCTGGGATTCCCGCTGGCTTTCTTCTCAGGCTGTGGCATCCTACAAACGCCAGCAGGAGCAGGGCTTCCAGGAGCAAAGCGCCCTGGCAGCCGAGGCCCGTGAGACTCGTCGTCAGGAGCTCCTAGAGAAGATTGCGGAGGGCCAGGCTGCGAAGAAGCAGAAGCTGGAGCAGGAATCAGGGGCCAGCGAGAGCCAGGAGGCCGGTGCGAACCCGGCTGCCGCAGAGAGTGAGGCCAGCGCTAGCCAGGCTCTTGGAGAGCCCGAGGAAGCAGGTGAGGGTAGGAGCGGAGTCCAGGGACCAGTGGAAGGAGGCGGGAGACCTTTTGGGAATCCTGGCCGGGAATCGAGGGCCTGGGACTCTCCGAGGGATGGGAAGACCTCGTCCTTGGATTCACCAAACTGCTGTATTCTCCTCCCCCAGGTTCCTCTTCTCCCCAGCCGGGGCCTTCAAATGGGGTGGCCCCCTTGCCCAGGTCCGCCCTGCTGGTCCAGCTGGCCACTGCTAGGCCTCGGCCCATCAAGGCTAGGCCCCTGGATTGGCGTGTCCAGTCCAAAGACTGGCCCCATGCTGGTCGTCCTGCCCATGAGCTTCGCTACAGCATCTACAGAGACCTGTGGGAGCGAGGCTTCTTCCTCAGTGCTGCTGGCAAGTTCGGGGGTGACTTCCTGGTCTATCCTGGTGAGTTTTGTGGGCACCTCCCATTGTTGCCCCTTCACAAGCCCACCACCGTCTGCATTTTCCCTTTTTGTCTTTTCTCAGCCTCTGAAACCCATGGAAGGACAGGAACACTTGGGAACCCAAGCCTGTTTGGAGGGCAGCATAGCAAATTTGATTAAGCACTTTCTTTGATCCAGAAGTTTCACTTAGATACGTGCACAAAACGTACAGGAAATCGTCACTGCAGGATTCTTTACAGTAGCGAAATATTAGAAAGCAACCAGAATGATTGTTAATAGGTTAGCGGTTACACATTGGTGTTAGCTGTCAGAGATTAATGTAGGTCCACGTACATTTACGAAAAGATGACCAAAGGAGAAGGAAAAAAAAGAACCACTTGTTGAAAACAGGTATGGGAGAAGTGCGTTATGTTTTATGTCGTCATGGAGTTATACACACATTATTTAGGTAGCTTTAAAAGTCATGGCCCTAGGGGCACCTGGCTGGCTCAGTCGGTGGAGCATGCTACTCTTGATCTCAGGGTTGTAGGTTCAAGCCTCACGTTGGGTGTAGAGTACTTAAAAAAAAAAAAAAATATATATATATATATATATATATATATATATATATGGTTCTAGCAAAAGAATATGAGAAGAACTTAGAATGGAGTACTGACTAGAAAGTAAGTAGCTAGTGGAAAAAGGCCTGAAAGCATGTACTCCAGCCCAAGTACAGTGGTACCCCTAGGTAAAGGAGACTTTCAGTGTATCAGTTAAATTTTGAATTTGTACTATGAGTGCCTTTATTGTTTAACTAAAGGGTTGAAAAAGTAAGTCTGCAGGAAAATCACCTTTTTTGTTCCTCCTGAGAACATAGAAGGATAGAGGCACCAGATAAGTAGTCAGATCTTAGCTGTTGGTTGGAGACCGATGGAGTCTTCTGCAGATGAGCCAAGAGCCTTCGTCTCTTCTCAGACCAAACACTCAACTAAGGGACTGACTTAGGAATTAAGAACAGTTTACCTGCCCCGTGCTCTACAGATAACCACACTCTAATTACCTTGCTACTGTTTTTTTGTGACTTCTGTATGTAAAAGATTATTTTGGTTTTGAAAATGACCTTAACATATGAATACTAATATTTAGTTCAAGCTTTCAGTGCAGTTTACAAATCTTTTTTCCAGTCTAGCAGATTTTAAGGGAACTGTTAGTCCATGTTTGATAGCACTCGTAAAAGGAGTTATGTAATTTTCAGTGTTACAAGTTGCATTAAAAAATTTGTTTTAGGGGCGCCTGGGTGGCTCAGTCGTTACGTGTCTGCCTTTGGCTCAGGTCATGATCCCAGGGTCTTGGGATCGAACCCCGCATCGGGCTCCCTGCTGAGCGGGAAGCCTGCTTCTCCCTCTCCCACTCCCCCTGCTTGTGTCCCCTCTCTTGCTGTGTCTCTCTCTGTCAAATGAATAAATAAAATCTTTAATTTATTTATTTGGCAGAGAGAGAGAGAGCACAAGTAGGCAGAGTGGCAGGCAGAGGGAGAGGGAGAAGCAGGCTCCCCATGAGCAGGGAGCCTGATGTGGGGCTCGATCCCAGGACCCTGGGATCATGACCTGAGCCGAAGGCAGACGCTTAACCGACTGAGCCACCCAGGCGCCCCTGCATTTTAAATTTTAATATGTTTATTTTCCTTTTTAAGTTGTATGGTGTTCAGGTTATGGAACTTGCCAAAAACTCAGATCTAATAACTTGTAAATGGAGTAAGTTTTAAGTTTACATGTTCTAATACTGTTAATGGCCTTACTAAAACTTCCGGTTAAAATAAGGGTAAATCCACCAATAACTCCATCACACATCTGAAACTGAACCAAATGACTGACCTGTTAGTTCTAATGGGTCAATATTTCTAAAAGAATACATACTCGGTGTATGAGGTATATGTAGAATCTTTGTTTCCTGAAGATTAGAATATTCAAGGACTGAGGCCCTTACTTATTTCTGACAGTAAAGCTTCCCGAACTTAATAAAGGCACTAGGCGTCTTGGAACAGTTTTTTTTTTTTTTTTTTTTTAAGATTTATTTATTTGAGAGAGCGAGAATGAGAGAGAGAGAGCACATGAGAGGGGGGAGGGTCAGAGGGAGAAGCAGGCTCCTCGCCGAGCAGGGCGCCCGATGCGGGACTCGATCCCGGGACTCCAGGATCATGGCCTGAGCCAAAGGCAGTCGCTTAACCGACTGAGCCACCCAGGCGCCCCTTGGAACAGTTTTGAGGCAGCTTCCCAGGGGTTTCGATGCTTCCTTCTGCACGGCCAGAGGTGTCACAACAGCTGCTGGCTGGAAAGCCGGCCGAGGGTCCTCTCAGTGGGACATCTCACCGCCCTGCTCTCGCTGGTTTTCGTTAGCTGGCACCGAACCTTCTGGGTGGGGCCCCATTCTGGCTCCGGCTCTCCTTGATCAGTCAGATTTACCTGATCCAGGGGCAGAGCGCAGGTCAGGTTACTGGGAGGCAGCCCTGTCTGCTCACGTACGGCCTGTGGTTCCTGTGGTGCCAAAGCGGCAGAGGTGAGTGCTTGTGACGCGGCTGTAAAACCAAACACTCACTGTCGGGCCCTTTCCTGAGAAATTGTGTGAACTCCTTTATCCCACCTATTTATTACTCCGTCGTCTTGTAAGTTCTTTTAGTCTGTTAGAGTCACTTCCCCTTGGATATTCACGTGACATCCTTTGCGTTCCTCGTGGCTTTGACGGACTTTGTGGTCGTGGTTCTTACGTCACGACAGTGATCTATTCCGTTAGTTGTTTTGTTTTTTAAATACGATTATGCTGAATGTGTGGGACAGCTTGCCCCACCCCCTCTCTCCCCACGCAGGGTATCGTCGACTTCTCCACGTTGGTACATTCTTCTCGTTTCAACAGCTGTGTGATACTCAGTCTTACGGAGAGACCATGAACTTAAGTCTGTGGTTTGGTTGTCTCCGTTTCTTAGCAGCTGTAAATGATAACAGAGTGAACATCTTCGTAGGTATATTTTAGCACTGTTATCCTTATAAGTAAAAAATTCCAAGAAGTGGAATTGCTGGGTCCAAGAATAGCTATTTTGAAATATTCATAGTGATTACTAGGATGATTCCCGTCTCCTACCTGTGGACATTCCGGTGTCTTCCAGCCCTCTGCCACTGGGAACTGCTACGTGTCTCTCTCTCACCCAGGTGACCCCCTTCGTTTCCACGCCCACTACATTGCTCAGTGCTGGGCTCCGGGGGACCCCATTCCACTGCAGGATCTGGTTTCTGCGGGCCGCCTGGGAACCAGCGTCAGAAAGACGCTGCTGCTGTGTTCTCCTCAGCCTGACGGGAAGGTGGTCTATACCTCCTTGCAGTGGACCAGCCTGCAGTGACTCCAGAGACCCGTGCGGATGTGGCTGCCTCTGTGGACAGAGCCTGTCTAGATGGCCCCAAGCTCGTCTCTGCATACGGGATGCTGCAGACCCTCCTGCCTCTCTCTGCGGTTAGGTTTTGACTCCGGATTTATAAACACTACATCCTTATTTCTCTCCCTGTTTCAAAGCACTTACTGGCTGTGATGTTTTTGTAGTTACCTGTTTCCAAATTGTGAGCTTCTTGAGGGTAAAGCCTGGGTTTGATTCATCTCCAGTTTCTACAGGGCTCAGGCCTCAAGAGGTCTCAGTAAACTTGTTGAATAAACGTGGAGTCTGTGATTTGAATCCTGATGACAATCCTGGGAGGTGTGAGTGTTTGCATTTGCTTATACAGATGAGGGAAAGGCTTGGAGGAGGTCACACCTCTAGTAGGTAGCCAGGCAGGCTGGGATTTAAAGCCTGGTCTTTCTGAGTCCAAGGTCTGCGCCCTTCCCACCACACTAAACTTCCTTTTGAGAAGATTTTCACAAAGCATTTCAGGTGCACACAAAGGCATAAATCAAAGTAACATGTGAAGGGAAGGAAGGACGTGAGTGTGGCAGTTTCAGGACGGGTTTCGGGTGGGGAGGGGAATGTCAGGGAGGACTCCTTGGGGCTTGTGGAATGGTGGTGGTCTTTTTCTTGGCCTGGGTGGTGTTTATTCAGGTGTGTAGAATTATTTTTTATACCATACATTTATGGTCCAGATCCTTTTCTTATACATATATTCTATTAAAAGCTGAAACACATATAAATAAAATATAAATTTGTGAGATGATTCATATAGCTGCCTTTCTGCTTAAGAAATTATTTGAACGTTGGGGCGACTGGGTGGCTCAGTCGTTAGGCGTCTGCCTTCGGCTCAGGTCATGATCCCGGGGTCCGGGGATCGAGCCCCGTATCGGGCTCCCTGCTCAGCGGGGAGCCTGCTTCTCCCTCTCCCTCTGCCTGCCTCTCTGCCTACTTGTGCTCTCTACCAAATAAATAAATAAAATCTTTAAAAAAAAATCTATTAAAAAATTATTTGAACATTATCAGTACTACCAACATTTATATGTATATTTAAAAAATGTGTAGTTTTAGGGGCGCCTGGGTGGCTCAGTTGGTTAAGCGACTGCCTTCGGCTCAGGTCATGATCCTGGAGTCCGGGGATCGAGTCCCGCATCGGGCTCCCTGCTCGGCGGGGGGTCTGCTTCTCCCTCTGACCCTCCCCCCTCTCATGTGCTCTCTCTCTCTCTCTCATTCTGTCTCAAATACATAAATAAAATCTTTTAAAAAATAATAAAAATAAAAAAAATAATAAAAAATGTGTAGTTTTGTCACATAGAATTTGCTACTGAAATACAGTCACATGGTAATGATTCTGGGGCTGAAAGTGTCTATCTCTAGTTTCTCAATTTCTGTGGTGCCAGTTTCTTCTTTCTTTCTTACCCTTCTCAGTAAACAAATTTGCTAGAACTTCAATTTCCTGTAAGCTTAGATTAATTTAAAACAGGACACCAACCCCTGCCCAGTTAACACTGTTCTTTGTGCCTCTTTGGTAACTGGCTTGTAAATATATTCTCCAGGCTCTCTCTTCTTTACAACAGAGTTCTTAGCTGACTCAGTACTTCTGTCTTGAGTCTTCCTCAAAAATTCCTCATTAAAAAACTTGTGGATGGGGGGACTCCTGGGTGGCTCAGTCATGAAGCATCTGCCTTCGGCTTGGGTCATGATCCCAGGGTCCTGGGATGAAGCCCCACATCGGTCTTCCTGTTCAGCAGGGAGTCTGCTCCTTCTCGCTCTCCCTCTGTGCTCTCTCCCTCTCTCTCTCTCAAATAAATAAATAAAATCTGGAAAAAAAAACGAAAAGCAAAAAACGAAACTTGTGGGTGCCTGACGAGCTCAGTCAGTGGAACGTGCAATTCTTGATCTCAGGGTTGCAAGTTCAAACCCCACGTTGGTCTAGAGCTTACTTAAAAAAAAACTTGTAAGGATGTCCACATGCACACACAAAAAAGGTGCCTGGGTGGCTCAGTTGGTTAAGCGTCTGTCTTCGGCTCAGGATATGATCCCAGAGTCCTGGGATCGAGCCCAGTGTCGGGCCCTCTGCTTAGCGGGGAGCCTGCTTCTCCCTCTCCCTTAGCCCTTCTCCCTGCTCATGCGCTCTTGCCCTCTCTCCTTCTCAGATAAATAAATAAAATCTTAAAAAAAAAAGCAGATACAGACAATACACCCTTTACAAAAATTAAGTCAAGGGCATCACAGATCTCAGTATAAAATGCAGGGCTATTCAACGCATAGGAGATAATAGGAGAAAACCTAGATGACTGACACTTCAGACACAACACCAAAGGTGGGGCCGATGAAAGAATTGATAAGCTGGACTTCATTAAAATTAAAAACAACATATTGCAAAAGACACAGCTGATAAAGGACTGCTGTCCAAAAAATATAAATAATTCTTAAAACTCAACAACAAGAAACAACCTGACCAGGGGCACTTAAATGGCTCAGTTGATTAAGCACCCAACTCTTAATTTTTTTTTTTTTTAAGTAGGCTCCATGCATGGAGCCCAATACAGGGCTTGACCTCACAACCCTGAGATCAAGACCAGAGCTGAGATCAAGAGTGAGCTGCTCAACTGTCTGAGCCACCAAGGCACCCTAAGCATCCAATTCTTTTTTTTTTTTTAAAGATCTTATTTATTTGAGAGAGAATGAGAGAGAGAACACATGAGAGGAGGAGGGTCAGAGGGAGAAGCAGACTCCCTACCAAGCAGGGAGCCCGATGCGGGACTCGATCCCGGGACTCCAGGATCATGACCTGAGCTGAAGGCAGTCGCTTAACCGACTGAGCCACCCAGGCGCCCTAAGCATCCGATTCTTGGTCTCAGCTTACGTCTTGATCTCAAGGTCTTGAGTTCAAGCCCTACTTAAAAACAAAACAACAATCTGACCCCCCCAACCCCCAAAATAGGCCTAAAACCTTAACAGACACCTCACTGAAGGAGTTCTGCAGCTGGCAAGTAAGCACGTGAGAAGATGCTCCACATCCTGTGCCATCTGAGACATGCAAATTAAAGCAACAGGAGATACAATTACACACCTATTAGAATGGCCAAAATCCAGAACACCAACAGCACCAAATGCTGGTGAGACATGGAGCAACAGGAACCGTCATTCATTGCTGGCGGGAACACAAAATGGCACAGCCACTTAGGAAGACAGTCTGGAGATTTCTCATAAAACTGAATGTACTCTCGGCCATGCAATTGGTGTGACTATCTCCAGCAAGTGTGTTCCTTGGTATTTACCTAAAGGAGCTGAATATTTATGACCCCACAGAAACCTGCACATGGATGTTTATAACAGCATTGTTCATAATTGCCAAAACTTGGATGCAACCAAGAGTTCCGTTGTAGATGGATGAGTAAACAAACAGGCCCATCCAGACAATGGAATATTTTTCAGTGCTAAAGAGAGCCAAAATATCAAGCCATGAAAAGACATGGAGGAACCTTAAACGGACATTACTAAGTGAAAGCAGCCAATCTGAAAAGGCTGCATACTGTATGATTCCAACTGTTTGACATTCTGGAAAAGGCAAAACTGGAGACAGAAAAACGATGAATGATTGCTAAGGGCTGGGGAGGTGGGATGAACAGGAGGAGCACAGAGGATGTGTAGGCCAGTGAAACTACTCTGTGTGAGACCATAATGGTGGATAAGTGTCACCATACATCTGTCCAAACCCATAGCATGCACATCACCATGAGTGACCCCTACACAAACTATGGACTCTGCTAATGACGTGTTGATGTAGGCTCATCAGTGGTGACAAATACACCCTCTGGTGGGGGGTGTTGATAGTGGGGAGACCGTGCATGAATGGGGGCAGGGGCACACAGGAAATCTCTGTGCCTTCCTCTCAATTTTGCTGTGAACTTAAAACTGGTCTAAAAAAACCAAACCCATAAGCGACTGCCTTCGGCTCAGGTCATGATCCTGGAGTCCCGGGTTCGAGTCCCGCATCGGGCTCCCTGCTCGGCAGGGAGTGTGCTTCTCCCTCTGACCCTCCCCCCTCTCATGTGCTCTCTCTCAAATAAATAAATAAAATCTTAAAAATAATAATAATAAAAAAAATAAAAATAAATAAAAAAACCAAAACAAAACAAAAAAAACCCATGGGCTCTACCTTCCAAACACTGTAGACCCATATTTGCCCACTTCACTCCACCTTCACGGCCAACATGTGGGCAAAAGCAACGACATTACACACGTGGATGATTGCAGTAGTTTCCAGACTCATCTCCTTGGATTCCATCCTTGCCCCCCATCCTCTGTTTTCAACAGAATGGCTGGCATTATTGGGTTAAAAGGTGGGTCAGACCGTGTCCCTCCTCTGTAGGACTCTCCAATAGTTTCCCATCTTAAAATAAAAGCAAAGGCCCCATGTTGTCTGTCCCTCGTCCCCGTCTGTGCCTCTCATCCGTGCTTATGCTGCCCCTATTCCTCTACCTGGAATGCTCTTCCCCTCATGGCTACATGGTCTTGTCCCCCACTGCCCGCTGATCTTTCCTGCAATGTCACCTCCTCAGGCCTTCCATGGTAACCCTACCTTAAAATTTAACACCCCTCCTGGATGCCCCTTCCCTTTTGATTTATTTGCCATACCATTTATCACTAATGTGATTTACAGTGAGAAATATGCATTTGATCTTCATCCCTTCCTGGCACAGACCTCCTAAAACCCTTGCAATATCCTAAGAGTAATAAAGGTGTCTGGATATTCCTAACAAAGCCCTTTCAACAAAACCTGGGTTTATATTAATGAGATGACTTCCAGGGAGGGGAGAGGGGCTGAAGGTTGGGTCACTCATGAATTGCTAATGATTTAATTAATTGTGGATGAATTAAATGTAATGAAGCCACCATATAAACCCAAAAGGATGGGATTTGAGAGATTCTGGGTGGATGAACATGTGGAGATGGGGGGAGAATGGCCCACTTGGAGAGGACATGGAAGCTCTGCCTTCTCCCCACGCCTGGCCCTATGCATCTCTCCCATCTGCTGTTCCTAGGCTACATTCTTCCATAATAGACCAGTGATCTGGTAAGTAAAATATTCCTCTGAGTTCTGTGAGCTGCTCTAGCCAATTAATGAACTGGGGGAGAGGTTTGTGAGAAACGTCAATCTGTAGATGATGCATATAGTTAGTTATTCATATATTTAAAAATTTAGACTATCAACTATAGTTGAGCCTCTACTAAGACGCAGATAAATCGGAAAGATGAGGCCCCTGCCCTCCTATAAATTTTTGTCTGGGAGCTCATCTATAAACAAGAAAACAAAAATGAACTGGGTAGCTTGAAAGACCTCACAGTACATGGTGGGAGTAACAAGGATGATGCTAGCAAACAGTGAGTGCATCCTTCGTGCGCCCTCAGTCCTCACTGTAACCCTGTGAGGTGGGCACCACCAACAACCCCATTTCACAGATGAGGACGCTGAGGCAGAGAATGGTGGAGAAACTTGTCCAAGGGGTCTTGATGAGCAAGCGGCTGCAGGTTTCAACCCAGGCGTCTGGCTAGAGTGGAGCTGCCTCTCTGAGGAGGGGACGCCGCCCGCTGAGAGCACAGGGCAGAAGGAGTGTAGAGCAGTGCTGAGGAGGGCGGCTGTGGGGCCAGGCGGTCGCAGCTCCAACCTTGGCCTGACCTCCTTTGTCGAGAGACTGAATAGGCAAACGGACGATGGCCAGGCCATGTACGAAGATAGAATTCTGACCCACAGCCTGCAGCAACGTGCCTGGAGGCCAGCCTGCTGCCTCTCGTAGCAGGACAGGAAGCCCTACAACACCCCTGTACCAGTGGGTCCAAAAGGGCCGGGACTTGACTAAAAACTGACGCTTCCCTAATTTTTGTCCCTAGCTCTAATTTAAGACCAACAAGAGAAGGCCAAGTATGCTCCCTAACTGATAGCATAGGACAAGGACTTCTAGTGAGCCTGTCCCCAGCTTCCCTGGGCACAGGCCTGGTCAAGGCTCGAGTGCAGCCTTCCATGTTTTCTACTGTAGGCTTTCCCCCTCCTCCGTCTGCCTTGGAGTTTCTGCCAAGCTATTGTCTGTTCTCTCTCTTTTTTTAAGATTTCTTTCTTTCTTGTTTTTTTTTAAAGATTTTTTTTATTTATTTGACAGAGACACAGCGAGAGAGGGAACACGAGCAGGGGGAGTGGGAGAGGGAGAAGCAGGCTTCCCGCAGAGCAGGGAGCCCGATGCGGGGCTCGATCCCAGGACCTGGGATCACGACCCAAGCCAAAGGCAAACACAATGACTGAGCCACCCAGGCGCCCCTAAAAACTTTTTATTCTTAAGATTTATTTGAGAGAGAGTGAGTGAGCTTGAGCGGTGGGTGAGGGGCAGAGGGAGAAGCAGACTCCCCACTGAGCAGGGAGCCTGACATGGGGCTTGATCCCAGGATCCTGAGATCATGACCCAAGCCGAAGGCAGACGCTTAACGACTGAGCCACCCAGGGCCCCAAGATTTATTTCTATTTATTTATTTTAGAGAGAGAGACAGAGAAAGAGAGAGCACAAGTTGGAGGAGGGGGAGGACAGACTCCACACTGAACATGGAACCCCATGTGGGGCTCTGTCCCATGATACTGAGATCATGACCTGAGTGGAAATCAAGAGTCGGCCGATTAACCAGCTGAGTCACCCAGAAGCCCCGTCGCATCTGTTCTCACTTACTTCCACATTGTGTAATCTCGGGCAAGCTCTGTAGCCACTTTTGGGGGCCTCAGTATCTGCCTCTGCAGAACAGGACTGCTCGTAGTCTTAGTGCTCTCTGGGTATCTACACTGATGCCTCGTGAGCGAGGACAGCCTCCCCGAGAGGACTCCGGGAGCACATTTTGAGATCCGCAAAATTCTTAGGCTAGCACATTCGAAGTGCTCATTAAACATTATCTAACACTGATAAGTGAAGCTGTTGGCGTGAACGGTATTTCTCCAGACAGGAAGGGGCTGGAGAAAATACAGGCAAATCTCACTTTAGGGTGCTCTGCAGATACTATGTGTTTTGTTTTGTTTTTTTTAAAGATTTTATTTATTTATTTGAGAGAGAATGAGAGAGAGAGAGCATGAGACGGGGGAGGGTCAGAGGGAGAAGCAGACTCCCTGCCGAGCAGGGAGCCCGATGCGGGACTCGATCCCGGGACTCCAGGATCATGACCTGAGCCGAAGGCAGTCGCTTAACCGACTGAGCCACCCAGGCGCCCAATTACTATGTGTTTTTTACAGATTGAAGGTTTGTGCCAACCCTGCGTCCAGCAACTCTATCAGTGCCGTGTTTCCAACAACTTTCGCTTACTTCGTGTCTCTGGGTCACATTTGGGGAATTATCCCAACATTTCAAGCTTTATCATCATCATCACATCTGTGGTGGTAATCTGTGATCAGTGATCTCTGACGTCACCATCGTCACTGTTTGGGGGCACCACCAACCACACCCACATAAGACGGCAAACTTAATCAATCAATGTGTGTGTTCTCACACAGACCGGCCATTCCCCGTCTCTCTCCCTCTCCTCGGCCTCCCTGTTCCCTGAGACACAGCAGTATTGAGCTGAGGCCAGTTAATACCCCTCCAGGGGCCTGCAGGCGTCCAGGTGAAAGAAGTTGCACGCCTCTCGCTCTAAATCCAAAGCTAGACGTGACTCAGCGTAGGGAGGACGGCGTGGCGAAGGCCGACACAGGCGCAAGGCTAGCTCTGTTGTGCCGACCAGCCCAGCTCTAAATCGAGGGAAGCGTTTGTGAAGGATGTTGAAAGAGCTCATCCAGAGCAAGGCCCTGCCCCCCTTCAGTTCTGTGAAGGCCGAGAGGCGTGGAGGCTGCGGGCCAGTCTCAAGCCAGCAGAGGTGGTTCGGGAGGTGGAAGGAAAGAAGCCATCTGCGTGAGAGTGCAAGGCAAGCAGCCAAAGCTGATGTAGAAGCTGCCGCAAGTTACCCAGAGCTAGCTAAGGTCATCCGTGGAGGTGGCTACACTAGACACAGATTTCCGGCGTAGACAAAGCAGCCTCCTACTGGCAGACGATGCCGTGTAGGACTCTCATCCCTAGAGACGCGTCAGTGCCTGGCTTGAAAGCCTCAGAGGACAGGCTGACTCCTGGTAGGGGCTAAGGCAGCTGTCGCCTTCAACGGGGAGCCCGTGGTCAGTGACCATTCTGAGACTCCTCGGGCCCTTGACAATGACGCTAAAGCTCCTCCCCCTGGGCTCCATAAACGCAACAGCAAAGCCTGGGAGACAGCGCATCGCTTTACAACATGGTTACTGAATATTTTAAGCCACACTTGAGACCTACGGCTCAGAAAAAAAGAAAAAAAAAAAATCCTTCCAAAATACTACTGCTCCCTGACAATGCACCTGCTGACCCAGGAGCTCTGAGGATGTTCAACGAGATTAATGGGGTGGTCAGGCCTGTAACACAACACCCATCCTGACAATGCACCTGGTCACCCAGGAGCTCTGATGGGATGTTCAACGAGATTAATGCCGTGCTTGGGCCCCTAACACAACAGCCACCCTGACAATGCACCTGGTCACCCAAGAGCTCTGATGGGATGTTTATCGAGATTAATGCCGTGTTCGGGCCTGTAACACAACACCCATCCCGACAATGCACCTGGTGACCCAGGAGCTCTGATGGGATGTTCAACAAGATTAATGCCGTGGTCGGGCTTTTAACACAATACGCATCCTGCAGCCCATGGACCAAGGAGTCATTTCAACTTCCATGTCCTGGGGCACCTGGGCGGCTCAGTAGGTAAGCGTCTGCCTTCGGTTCAGGTCATGATCCCAGGGTCCTGGGATCGAGCCCCGCATCGGGCTCCCTGCTCGGCGGGGAGCCCGCTTCTCCCTCTCCCTCTGCCTGCCACTCTGCCTACTTGTGCTCTCTATCTTTCTGTCAAATAAATAAATAAAAATCTTTAAAAAAATCAACTTCCAAGTCTTAGCATAACACAGTACATTTTGTAAGGCTCTAGCTGCCTTAGGCAGTGATTCCTCTGATGGATCTGGGCAAAGTCAGCGGAAAACCTTCTGGAAGAGATTCAGCATTCTAGATGCCATTAAGGGCACTTGTGATTTGGGGCGCCTGGGTGGCTCAGTCGGTTAAGCACTCTTGATCTCCGCTCAGGTCTCGACCTCAGGGTGGTGAGTTCAAGCTCTGCATTCGGCTCTATGCCTGTGGGGCCTACTTAAAAAAGAACATTTGTAATTCATGGGAAGAGCTCAAAATATCCACAGGAACAGGCGTTTGGAAGAAGTGGATTCCAACCCTCATGGATGACTTTGAAGGGTTTGGGACTTCAGGGGAGGAAGTCACTACAGATGTGGTGGAAACAGCAAGAGAACCTGGATGAGATGTGGAGCCTGAAGAAGGGACTGAATTGCTGCAGGCTCATGATCAAACTTGAACAGAGGAGGAGCTACTTCAGAAGGAGGAGCAGAGAGAGTGGTTTCCTGAGTTGGAATCTACTCCTGGTGAAGATGCTGTGCAGATTGTTGAGATGACAACAGAGGACTTAGAATATCACATAAACTTGATAAAGCAGTGGCAGGGTTTGAGAGCATTGACTCCGATTTTGAAAGCAGTTCTACTGTGCTGGGGGGCCTGGGTGGCTCAGTCAGTTAAAGGACTTCCTTCGGCTTGGGTCATGGTCCCAGGGTCCTGGGATCAAGCCCCGCATCGGATCCCTGCTCCGTGGGAAGCCTGCTTCTCCTTCTCCCACTCCCCCTGCTTGTGTTCCCTCTCTCGCTGTGTCTCTCTCTGTCAAATAAAGAAATAAAATCTTAAAAAAAAAAAAAAGAAAGAAAGAAAGAAAGAAAGAAAGAAAGAAAGAAAGAAAGAAAGAAAGAAAGAAAGAAAGCAGTTCTACTGTGGGTAAAACATTATCAAACAGCATCACCTGCCACAGAGAAGTTGTGACAGGAAGAGTCAATCGATGCGGCAAACTTCACCATTGTCTTATTTTAAGCAGTTGCCCCAGCGCCCCCATCTTCAGCATCCACCACCCTGACCACTCAGCAGCCACCAACATGGAGGCAAGGCCCTCCAGAAGCAGAAAGATTATGACTTGCTGAAAGCTCAGATGATGATTAGCATTTGTTAGCAATAAAGTATTTTTTAAATTAAGGTGTGTACGTTGTCTTTTTAGATATAATGGTATTGCACACTTAATAGACTATAATATCATGTAAGCATAACTTTTTTTTTTTTTTGAGAGAGAGAGAGTGAGGGGAAGTTCAGAGGGAGAGGGAGAGAGAGTCCTGAACAGACTCCACACTAAGTACAGAGCCTGACACGGCACTCGATCTCACTACCCTGAGATCATGACCTGAGCTGAAATCAGGAGTTAGCTGCTCAACTGACTGAGCCATCCAGGCACCCCAAGCACAACTTTTTTCTATCCATCCGGGTGCTACGACTATGGTTATGACCTACCAGATCATGCTGCTAGGAGTAGGCATGTGTGCTGGGATGCTGTGTGACTCCTCTGCTGAGCCTCAATGGGCTTTGGGCTCATGTCGTCACATCACCTGCACAAGAGAACTAGGTACCATTTAAAAAGCTGCCTACGTGCCAGTGGTCCCAACAGAAACCTAATGACAAGAGACATGAGCATGTATGCAACTGGAACTATCCACAATGAGCTGGGTATGGTCCTTTCCACTCAGTCATAAGTTTGCAATCCACTGTTGAGTAAGTGGTAGGTTCAGAGGACAAAGATGGGGGTCCCATGCAGACACCTACATACAATGCCGTGGTCGGGCTTTTAACACAATAGCCGTGACAATACACCTGGTGACCCAGGAGCTCTGATGGGATGTTCAACGAGATTAATGCCGTGTTCGGGACTGTAACACAACAGGTGGTCGCTTCGGTGGTCATCAACAGCTTTGTGGCCTGGGTCGTGTCTGGGTGGGGTGACGTTTCGGAGTAGAGTTGCCCCACCACCATACCAGCGGGACTCTGAAAAATACCAGTGAGCAGATATTTTGGTAATGAACAGGATAATACACTTTTTGTGGAAAGAGATCCAACTAGGTGTGAAGATGCACACAAACTCCTGGATAGTAGCTTCTGCCTTGCCTAAATGATCAGAATCCCGAAGGAGCAGAATCAAGTGGGGGGAGACAGGGTTGTCCAGGACAGAGGCATGTGTAGGCATGGATGTATAGGAGTGGAGTACAAAGCACTTGGATCTTTGAATCAGATAGACATGTCCCCAAGATGGGCCCCTGGGTGGCTCAGTCGGTTGGGCATCTGCCTTCAGCTTAGGTCATGATCTCGGGTCCTGGGATTGAGTCCTGCATCAGGTTTCCTGCTCGGTGGGGAGCCTGCTTCTCCCTCTTCTTCTTCTGCTTCTCCTGCTTGTTCTCTCTCTCTCTCAAATAAATAAATAAAAATCTTAAAAAAAATGTCTGCAAGAGAGTTCCCTGTAGACATAGTCCTTAATGACCAACGGGACTGGATGGCTCACTGGGTAGATGCTAGCCAGCCTCTGTTCTTCCTTATCCCAGTGTTCACACAGTGGGCCTATGGAGGAAGAAGCCATGATGGCGAGAAGAAGGGTGCTCAGGAGTCGTGTAACATGGACTGCCTTTCATTGGGAGTGACCTAACTACAGACTCTTCTCAATGTCCATCACTTCAGCAGTGGAGACCAACACCGAGTCCTCAGTATCGTATCATTCCTACGGGAGTAAATCAGACATGTAGCTGAAGATGATTTCATCCCCAGTGGAATGGATGCGGATGGAGCCTAACTAGTATATATGTGTGTGCACTGAGGCATGACATATATGTCCTTTGGGTGTGCAGTGTGATCAGCTTTGGCAAATGTGCAACTCATTTAACAACATCGCTACAGTCAATACATAGAACATTGCCGTCGCTCCTAAAAATTCCATGGTGAGCTTTTCAGTCAACCCAATGGAAGCAAACAGCAACCAGCTTTCTTTCTCTAGGTGATAGACTTCCTTGTTGTAGAATTTCACAGAAATGAAACCATAAAGTATATGCTCGGCCATATCTGCCCTCTTTTGTGCAATATGTTTTTGAAAACTCATCCATTTTATTGGTCTTTTTAAATTTCATTTATCTAATGGTTATAGATGTTGAGCATTTTTTCATGTGTTCATTGTTATTAATATATTTTCTTTGAGAAATGTCTGTTCAAATTGTTTTGCTCATGTGGGAGGGTTTTAGTATTATTTGTAAAAGTCCTTATTTATTCTACAAATAATCCTTTATCAGACGGACACACACACACGCACACACTTCTCAGTCTTGGCTTGTTTTTTCCATTACCTAATGCTGTCTTTTGAAGAGAAAAATTTTTAATTTTATGAAGTTCAATAAATCTTTTTGTTGTTGTTTGTGCTTTTTGTACCTTGCTAAGAAATCTTTGTCTAATCCAAAGTTGTGAAGATCTTTAAATTGTTTTTTTTAAGATGCCTTATGGTTTTGACTTTTGCTATTAGGTCTATGATCATTTCATGTGAATTACTGTGTATGGTGAGGGTGTGAAGTAAAGGTCAAAGTTCATTTTTTTCCCAAATAGATATCTAGTTGTTCCAGCAACATTTGTTGAAAAGATTATCTTTTCCTCAAGGAAGTACTTCTGTCTCATTGTTAAAAGTCAGGGGCACCTGGGTGGTTCAGTTGTTAAGTGTCTGCCTTTGGCTCAGGTCATGATCCCAGGGTCCTGGGATCGAGCCCCGCATCGGGCTCCCTGCTCGGCGGGAAGCCTGCTTCTCCCTCTCCCACTCCCCCTGCTTGTGTTCCCTTTCTCGCTGTGTCTCTGTGTCAAATAAATAAATAAAATCTTAAAAAAAAAAAGTCAATCAATCATATATGTGTGGGTTTACCTCTGGCATCTCTATTGTTTATTTTTTCCACCTACCTATCCCTATGCAAATACCACACCATCCATTACATTTCTTCCTTCCACAGAAAGTCTTGGAATAAGAAGATGTCCAGTTTTATTCCTTTTCAGCACTGTTGTGCTATTATTGTTCTTTTTATGTTTCCACATATGTATTAGTATCAGCTTGTCAACTGCTAAAAGAGATAGTTGGGCTTTAAAAAAAATTATTTATTTAAGTAATTTCTACACCCAACATGGGGCTGGAATTCATGATACTGAAATCAAGAGTCACACACTCTTCTGACTGAGTCAGCCAGGCACCCCAGCTAGTTGGGATTTTGATTTGGCTTGCTTACCAGTTTAGAGAGACCCGATACCTTGACAATATTGAATCTTTTTTTTTCTTTTTTTAAAAGTTTTTATTTTGCTTCCAGTTCGTTAACATATAGTGTAATTAATATTAGTGTACAATATAGTGATTCAACACTTTCATACATCAACCAAGGGTCATCACGACAAGTGCAGTCCGTAATCCCCACCACCTATTTAACCCATCCCCCTACCCACCTCCCCTCTGGTAACTATCAGTTCTCAATAGTTAAGAGTCTGTTTGTTGGTTTGTCTCCCGCTTTTTATTCCTTTGCTCCTTTGTTTTGTTTCTTAGATTCCACATATGAGTGAAATCATGTGGTATTTTTCTTTCTATGACTGACTTATTTTTTTTTAAAGATTTTGTTTATTTATTTGACAGAGACACAGCGAGAGGGAACACAAGCAGGGGGAGAGGGAGAGGGAGAAGCAGGCTTCCCGCGGAGCAGGGAGCCCGATGCGGGGCTTGATCCCAGGACCCTGGGACCATGACCTGAGCCGAAGGCAGACGCTTAATGACTGAGCCACCCAGGTGCCCCTCTGACTGACTTATTTTGCTTAACTCTAGCTCCATCCATGTTGTTGCAAATGGTAAGATTTCATTCTTCCTAATGACAATGTTGAGTCTTTTCTTTATGTTTGTTTATTTATTTATATTTTAAGTAGGCTCCATGCCCAACATGGGGCTTGAACTCACAACCCCAAGATCAACAGTTGCACGCTCCACCGACTGAGCCAGCCAGCTGCTCCCAATGTTGAGTTTTTCAATCAATGAATGTGGTATCTTTTTTTAGTTCTTTAATTTCTCTTAGCTAAGTATTATAGTTTTTAGTCTTCAGATCTTATACATCTATACTTATACTTATCCCTACATTTGTATAGTTTTTGGAGCTATTATAATAGTATTTTAATTTTGCTTTCCAATTGTTCCTCATTAATTTATAGAATAAAGTTCAGTTGATATTTCTTCCCCTTCAATCTGTATGCTTTTTATTCCTTTCATTTGCTTTACTGTTAGGCAGTTCTGAATAGAAGTTGTGAGAGTATCATTGACTTGTTTCATACTGTAAAAGTGTTCAGTATGATATTAGCTAAAGGTTTTTCATAGATGCTCTTTATCTGATTAAGGAAGTTCCCTTCTATTCCCATATAGCTGAGTATTTTATCAAATTTTGTGCATGCACTTATATCATGATGTGTTTTTTCTTTGTTAGTCTATTAAAACGGTGGATTACAAATCAAAACCACATTGAGATACCACCATACACCAGTTAGAATGGCAAAAATGGACAGGGAAAGAAACAACAAATGTTGGAGAGGTTGTGAAGAAAGGGGAAACCTCTTACACTGTTGGTGGGAATGCAAGTTGGTACAGCCACTTTGGAAAACAGTGTGGAGGTGCCTCAAAAAGTTAAAAATAGAGCTACCCTATGACCCAGCAATTGCACTCCTGGGTATTTATCCCAAAGACACAGATGTAGTGAAAAGAAGGGCCATATGCACCCCAATGTTCATAGCAGCAATGTCTGCAATAGCCAAACTGTGGAAAGAGCCGAGATGCCGTTCAACAGATGAATGGAGAAAGAAGATGTGGTCCATATATACAATGGAACATTACTCAGCCATCAGAAAGGATGAATACCCAACTTTTACATCAACATGGATGGGACTGGAGGAGATTATGCTGAGTGAAATAAGTCAAGCAGAGAAAGTCAACTATATATGGTTTCACTTATTTGTGGAACATAAGGAATAGCATGGAGGACATTAGGAGAAGGAAGGGAAAAATGAAGGAGGGGGGAATCAGAGGGGGAAATGAACCATGAGAGACTATGGACTCTGAGAAATAAACAGGGTTTTAGAGGGGGGGGCATTGGTTAGCCTGGTGATGGGTATTAAGGAGGGCATGTAGTGAGTGCATGGAGTACTGGGTGTTACATGAAAACAATGGATCATGGATCACCACATCAAAAACTAATGATGTATTTTATGGTGACTAACATAACATAATAAAATTTAAAAAATAAAAAAATAAAAAAAATAAAACGGTGGATTACCTTTATTGATTTTCAGATGTTCAACTAACCTGTCATCTGGGGATAATTCACACTTGGATGTTGGCTTTTATTTACCAATATTTTGGTGAGGATTTTTGCATTTATGTTTTTGAAGGATATTGGTCTGCAGCTTTCTTTCCTAGTCTTTGTCTTTGTCTGATTTGAATTTGGAGTAATGCTTGCTCATAAAATTTTTGCAAAGTTTTCTTTTCTTTTCTACTTTCTGAAAGAGATTGTGTAGAATTGTATTTTTTCACCAAATGTTCAGTGGTTTGTGCTAGTGAGAACATTGTGGCTGGGAGTTTTCTTTGTTGGAAAGGTGTTTTAACTACAAATGCAATTTAATATTTTAAGGAATATTAAGGTTATTTCTTCTTGAATGAGTCTTGGTAGTTTGTGTCTTTCAGGAGTTGGTCCATTCAAGGATGGACCTAGAGGCTATTATGCTAA